TATATATATATATATATATAAATGTTTAAAAATACAGTTTATATATTATATATGAAGGCTTTTTTGTATTTTGTTGCATTATAACATTATTTTCATGACGTTTACCTAAATTCTCTTTATTATACAAAATACAAAAATCTTTTTTTTTTAATTACTAATCTGAACAACAGTTATTTTTGTGTGTAGTTTCTATGTACTGAAGTACATTAAAAAAAAATATATATATATATATATATAGATATATATACACATACACAGTTTATTGTATTTTGTTAAAACTTAATGACTTTAATAGTGTGGGTCAGACCGCTACCCTTATTTATTTAAATAGGGTTAATTTAGGAGAATGGCAAAAAGTGGCCCAGTTTACCCTATTCACCCTAAGGTTGCTTTCTCGTGCATTTTCTGATAGGCTCAGACAGTCACATGTTCATCTCACCACTGATGATGCACTGTAAGTGGTTAGTGAAAAGCAGTAGACTGTCATATTCAGTTGTGTGTCATATACACAGTGATGTCCTTCAGTTGTGATCTCTTGTGTTTTCTCCTGGCGCTCTTCATGTGCAAACAGAAGTACGAGACGTGGGAGGGGCCTTCTGGGGCCTCAACCGCAGCACTTCCCACCAGCGTGACCTCTGACCCTGCCTGCCATTAATCACTCTGCTCCTGATGGAAAATCAACCCAGCAAGGCATGATGGGAGGGTCAGCCTGGGGCCAATCAGAACACGGCTCTCAGCCGACAGTGGCGCCACACTGAACTACAGGAACCTCAGCAACCGTGAATCTACCCAGTTTATTTAATTACTGTCAGAGAGGGTTAACTAACCAGCAACAGTAAGCTTCTGTTTAGTAGCAGACTTAATCTAATTCATGATTACATTTACATAGAGAAAGACAGTATATAAAATGTTTCTGAAAGAAGTCTCTTTTGCTCACCAAGGCTGCACTTATTTGTTAAAAAATATAATAAAAACAGTAATATTGTGAAATATTATTGCAATTTCATATACCTGTTTCACATGATCCTTCAGAAATCATTCCACCCTTCAAAATATCTTTTTGTAAAGAAATTAATAATTGTATTCATTAAAGATACATTAAATTGATCAAAAGTAAAAACATTTATAATGTTACAGTAGATTTCTATTTCAAATAAATGCTGTTCTTTTGAACTTTCTATTCATCTGTGAATCCTGAAAAATAAAATGTATCAGTTTCCACAAAAATGTTGTGCAGCACAACTGTTCTCAACATTGATAATAATCAGAAATCAGAATCAGTTTCTTGAGCAGTAAAGCAGCATATTATACTGATTTCTGAAGATCATGTGACACTGAAGACTGGAGGAATGATGCTGAAAATACAGCTGCGCATCACAGAAATAAATTACAGTTATACGTATATTCACATAGAAAACAGCTGTTTTAAATTGTAATAATATTTTACATTTTTACTGTGTTTTTGATTAAATAAATGCAGCTTTGCTGAGCAGAAAAGACTTCTTTTAAATAAAACATTTATAAATCTCTCAGACCCCAAACGAATGGCCGAATGTCCAAATGAGTGTTTATATTTTTACCGTACAGCAAAATCTCCTCAGTTGTGTTATAGTTCGTGTTAGTGTTGTAGCAGTCGGTATTAATCATTCAGTGTTGTTTCTGTTGTCTGTCGTATAGTCTCTGTGTGCGCGTGTTTCTATAAAAGCTTGGCTTCCTGCTGACTGGCATTTTAATTCAGCCATCAATAACCTCAGGCTGACCCTTGCGATTGTACTAATTGTTTGATGTTGGGTTGGTGGTCAGAGGCATCAGTGAACTGCAGAGATGTTTCTGGACCAGTTGATCAAACCGTGCTCTGAAATATACCGGCTGCTCTAATGACACGCGTGTTCTCCCAAGATGCTGAGTTTCACAGGCATCTGAAGCCATTTGTTGTCATGTGTGCATGTCGGGGCGCGTCACACGACCTTTAAACCTCGCCTGTTTTTCATTGCACATTCTTGCATTTCTGTTTTATGTTTTTCTTTGTAGAGCGAGATCGTAAAGCCGTCATTTGAGTTGTTTATCTAGGACGCCGTTGATAAGAATCTCACCAAAGTCTGTGTGTGTTACTCGTGTTTCTGTTCTTTTGATAATCATGCTCTTGTTAATTTTTTAATTTTGGTCTATTATGCTTCCGTAATGTATTTTTTCAGACTAGTGGGGAAAAAAGCATCCAAAAATACACTTGAAGTGTTTGTTTTATTGCATTTCATCTATTTACGTCTGTTGATTTTTAAAAGCAATTCACACCTTTAAAAGTTTTCTTACATACACCAAAAACAGTTTTATTCCTCTCTGTATTCTGAAGGTTTGCACTGGAAGGATTGTTCATATATCATTTGCCTGGTTTTATTATTGCACTTTTATCTGATTGCATCTTAATTTGCTATACATATTTTTAAAGCCTATTTTCTTAAAATTAGAGAAGAGAAGACACAGCTGAGCATCCCCAGAGAGGAAAGCACATTAGGTTTTCTTGATTGAATTGACTGGTGAAGCACTGACGTTTTTCAGCAAATATTTAGCAGACTTTGGGATTAAGTATAACACATATTTCAGAGCATTGAGAAACTGCATAAGGAGTCTGCCGGTCTGGTGATTTATGATGCTGTGTTGAGTAGCATCATTCATTTCAAGATCGTGACTAGTTTCAAACTAAAGAAGAAACCCAATATAAGTTACAGGTATTTAAATAGCCTACAGTTTTTATTACTATTGTTTTATTCAGTTGCCTTTGAAGAGAACTCACATACACCAAAACTTAGAGATTTATTCCTCTCTATATTCTGAAGGTTTTTACTGAAGGGTTTGTTCATAAAGCATTCACACTGATTTATACAACATTTTATTCCTAAAAACAAGGCGAAAATGCATATATTTAAAGGCTGTGAGTTTGTTTCTCCACTTCAGCAGCACTTACAAACACCAAAACTTAGAGATTTGTTCCTCTCTATATTCTGAAGGTTTTTACTGAGGGGTTTGTTCATAAAGCATTCACACTGATTTATACAACATTTTATTCCTAAAAACTTAGTGAAAATACGTTTATTTCTGTCTGTTGACAGTATTTTCTGATTTCTGGAGTGATAAGAGAAATCCCCTCTATAAAAACCTTTAAGTCTAATATGTCAACAAAATCAAAGAGTTTTGAACCTGGCTTTATACAATGTTCAGATGCAAATTAATGCACATTGGATAATGCATCATTTGCATATTTAAACAAAACGTTTCAGAAAACTTGTAATACAAAACAATTGTCCTAATTTCCTGTGATTAATCAACTGGGGAAAGTATTGTGATATGTGTTAGTTAACATTTAGACCCTGTTCAGCTGTGCTGTCGTGTCTGAAGGCATCACATCAGGCGGTTTTACTATAGATTCATAAATGGGTTTTATTCCAGAGCACAATCAGAGGGAGCCGCTGTGTGCTTTTCATATGAGCGTTTAACTCTACAGCAAACGTCTCCACCCACCCCTGACCTAAAGATAAGCTGTTGACAAGATTAATGCATGGCTATCATAAGTCTGGGGCGGGTTGGCTCTGTTATCCAGGTTAAGCTTGTTTGCGTAAAGCAGGCTAATATGTATTTTTCCGCCTGTAGCCCACCTGTGTCTTTTGAAGTGCTGCGGTGGGCGACTCGAACTCTCATCTCTATACAAACACAACATCTGCCACAAGCATTTCAATGCGTTTATGGTGTAAAAATGAAACATGGGTTTTTGATGTTTTTCAGTTTTTAGTTTTTTATTTGAAACATAAATTAAAAAAGCTCCAACTTAATATGTTGTACATTTTCTTTTATCTTTATCTTTTGCTGTTGTTTGTTTGTTTTTGTTTTAGAAAAAATCATGGGAAAATAATGTTTATTTAAGAGTAAATATTTAAGATTTTTTTTTACTGATGTATAATATGTACTGTATACTATATATATATATATATATATATATATTAGGCTTCTTATCATTAACTAAAACTTTATTTTTGTTAATTGAAATAACTGCTGAAATATAAATATTAGATGAAAAACTAAATAAAAATTAAAAATATTTTCTTGGCAACTAACTAAAATAACCTGAAGAAGTAATATTACTAACTGGAAATAAATAAAAACTAAAATTGAACTAAAACTGAAAGAATTAAAATGTATAAAAAAACACAACAAAATTAATCAAATTCAAATTGTAAATATAAAAATAAAAGCTAATTACAAAATAGTCATACAAACAGCATAATGAAAAAAAAACTAAAAGAAAACTAAAATAACACTGGTAAATATTAAAATAAAATGTATATAGAGCAAAAAAAGAAAAAAAACTTCACATGGAAATTGAGTGCATATTTTTGCAAAGTAAAATTTTACTTTTTGCCATAAATTTTTCATGTATAAAATTGTTAATATATCATTTATATTTAAATAAAAATGTGTTGTTATTATTAATATAATTTTAGAAGCAACATCAATGAACAACAGTGCATAGACTAAACAATAATGTCTATCAAAACTTATTTCAATGTCAATAAAAAAAGTAATATCTAATCTACTGTATACTCTATATAATACATAATTAAAATCAGATGTTTCAGATTCTGACATCTGATTGGATGAGCCTGTACACACACACACAGTCACACACACACATCAGTTGAGTTCTATATTAACATGCTGTTCATTGATCATTGATAGTTATGTTGCTAGGCAACCACACACATCCCACAGTGAACTGTGTGACCGTACAGAGGAGTGTTTATTAGGATTATTGTGATTTATTCTTCGTGTCGTGATTTATTGATCATGGGTTGGGTGTCTTTTGTTATGGTCCTCTTGACGTGAGTCATGCGTTACAGTGATTTTACCGCAGTTAAGGTTTGTTAGACGTGATATGAGGCAGTAAAATCACTGTACTGGCTTCTGATTAGTTTTGGTGTAAGCTGATGGTTGTGTTGGTGTTTGCGCAGGGACTCCGGTGAACAGGATCCCCATCATGGCGAAGCAGGTTCTGGATCTGTACATGCTGTATAAGCTGGTGACGGAGAAGGGTGGACTGGTGGAGGTCATCAACAAGAAGATCTGGAGAGAGATCACCAAGGGTCTCAACCTGCCCACGTCCATCACCAGCGCTGCATTCACGCTCCGCACGCAGTACGACACACACACACCAAATCAGAAAACACTATATTTAGATGGTTTAGATCTTTGAGACGCCCCTAGACGGAGGTTCTATCTCTCCTTGCTGTTTCTCGTCTCTTCACATCACATTCTGCCTCCCACTAATTAGCTTGAGGTGAAAGATTTATTGATTTATTGATCTGTTGATTTGATTTGGATGGCTTTAGTGTGGGGGTGGATGCAGGAACTCTCTCTGTAGTTCGATTGAGTAGCAACTAAATGTATGATGCTTTCAGCTGGTAATAAGTGTGCAGTACAACACATTCTACTATCAGTCCTACCAGGATTTTTTTTTTCAATAAAAATGGCTGAATTTGTGCCAGTAATTTCCAGAATTTTGCTGTTTTTTTTAATAGCTATGATTACTACATTTACAATATACTACATAGCACACGTTAGATGTACAGTGGTCATACATAACAGGAAAAAAATTCTGTCATTTTTGTATTTTACCAAATTCTGACACTTTATTTATTTTATTTTTTTTATTTTTTTTTTTGTGCAAAATGTCTGATTTGGTGGCAGTGATTAACAGAATTTTGCTGTTTATATATGTGTATATATATATATATATATATAATTAGGATTTCTCCATTTACCTTATCATACCACATTAGATGTACAGTGGCCATACATAACGGGAAAAAAACACTCAAAAAATTATTTTTGTATCTTACCAAATTCTGACACATTATTTATTTATTTACCTGTCTGTTTGTTTGTTCGTTTGTTTATTTTTGCTATCAAAATGGCTGATTTGGTGGCAGTAATTAACAGAATTTTGGTGATTTTTATTATTATTATTTTTTATAATTAGGATACTACATTATTAGCTTGAATTCACATTTAATGAAACTACATTTATGTGTATTTATTTATAAAACGCTTTCATGCAAAGCAGCTCACAAATGTTCAATTACATCAAAAAAGGAAAAACAGAACAATACATTACTATGCATACATTACCCATTAGTATGGTACTATTGTTAGATGTACAATAGTCATACATGAAAAATAAATTGTGGCGGTAATTTCCAGAATTTTGCTGATTTATTTATTTTAAATTAGGATATCACATTTACCATATTATACCACTTTAGATGTGCATAGTCATACATGACAGAAATAAAAATGCAGTTTATTTTTGTGTCAGACAGACAGCAGCAGGTTTATTAGGCTGCTGTCACTTTAAGACTGAAGTCATGTATCCAATATACTGATGCACATCCCATTTTATCCCAGCTGTTTACATTAATTTAATACATAAACAACTGTTTATGTGAATCACACGTATCATGTCAATAGCCACTGCACTTTGTTGTGATTAATTTGTGGTGAAATGACGAATTATCCAAGATTGACTGGAGCGACCGAACTAAATTTAAATGCATTTTGCCGATTATCCTCCAGAATTGGTTCACAAAATGTGAATAAAATCCATCCACATACCACAGGTTCTGCTCATGTGTTTGGTGTTGTTTCTCTGTCTCAGGTATATGAAGTATCTGTATCCGTACGAGTGCGAGCGGAAAGCGTTGAGTTCTCCCAGCGAGCTGCAGGCCGCTATCGACAGCAACCGGCGTGAAGGCCGTCGACCCAGTTACAGCAACAGCCTGTTCCACTTTAGCCCCTCCCCCGGCTCCGCCCCTCACCTCCTGACCCCGCCCAAGATGCACCTGTCAGCGCTGGGGGCCATGGGGGCCCTGAACGGACTGCAGGCATCCCCGGGGCCATCTCTGAAGAAGGGACTGGGTGAGTGACGCAAAAATTAGTTATCGTCACAACCTGGCAGAACCATGAGCAAAACGTGATTGAAATTTAAACTGCACATTTATCTTAAATAATTGCAATGAGATCAAGTAACCACAATCAGACAATTATTAAACCATAATCATGACAGGCCTGCTTAAAGCTACAGGACTTATATTTATTGTTTTTAAAGAGTCTGTAGGTCCATGCAGTGATTCTGGTGTTCATGCTGTTTTAGTGCTTGAAAAAAGAAACAGTGTTAAACAGAATCGGAATTGTTCAGTCTGGTGTGTTTGTGGTGTTACAGCGCCTCTTGTTGACACTGATATGAACTGCATCTTCAGACATTTACACTAGTTCTCTTTTTTATATTTTTTACACACAGACACACACACACACACACACACACACACACACTCACACACACACAAACAGACACACACACACACACACTCACACAGACACACACTCTCACACACACACAAACAGACACACACACACACACACTCACACAGACACACACTCTCTCACACACACGCACACTCACACACACACACACACATACACTCACACATGCACATACACGCATACACACACACACACATACACACACACTCACTCACACAGACACACACGCTCTCACACACACACACACACACACTCTCTCTCTCTCTCTCTCTCTCTCACACACACTCTCACACACACACACCCACTCACACACCCCCTCACACACACACACACCACACACACACACACACACTCTCACACACACACACACACACACCACACACACACATATACACCCACACACTCACATACACACACACACTCACACACACACACATACACTCACACACACATACACTCACACACACACACACACACACACACACACACATATACACATATATTAACCAGAAGTTTCATGTGGTAATTAGTGTGTTTGTCCACTTGCTGATTATGGCAGAGTTTCATCCAAATGAGCCACATCATGTGCAAAGGGCTGTTTTGAAAGAATAACTTATGTTTTTTTCTGTTCTCATTATTAATTTATCTCGCAGACAGTAATTTTCTGCCCTGTATTTTGGTTTTTAAAGTGGATAGTTTTTAGATTGTTAACTGACAGATATTGTGCAGAAAATCCCAACCTTGAGTGGTTTATTGCAATGTTTAAAGAACAGCACTATGATAAAAAACAGGGTTATTATTGTTAATTACAACTAAAACTAAAAGCACATAAAAACAACAACAACAAAAAAAATATTTTTGTTACTTGAAGTAAAATAAACGGTAACTGAAATAAATTTTAAAAACATATTTTATTCCAGCTAATTGCCATGGCAACACTTTTAATTTTCGTTTATTTTCACTTGAAGCATTAAATAAACTAAAACTAATAAATAAAAATTAATACACATTTTAAAAAATTTATAAAGTTAAAACTATAGACATTTTTAAAAATGTAATAAAAATTATTACAAAAAGGCACAACAAATTACTAAAACTTAAAAATTTTAAAAACAGAAAATAATAATAATAATTATATTATTATTAATTTTTATAAATTTAGTTTGGTTCTAAAAAAACAGGTTTATTAGTATCATTGAGATACTATTTGAGTTTCTATTAATATTTTGAATTCGATTTTATTTTTATATTTTCCATTTTAATTTTAGTTCATGTTTTAGTTTTTTTTGTATGTCTATATTGTATTTATGAAACTTAATTCCAGTTTTAGTTGCTTTAGTACATCAAGTGAAACTAAATGAATGAAAATAAAAAATGTTGCTTTGGCAACTAGCTGAAATAAATATAGACCAAAAAAGTAATAAAAATGCTAAAAACAAAATGGCTAAAACTTAAACTAAAATTCAAGTGAAAGCAGAAAATAAAAGTATGTCAATGATACTAAGATAACACTGCAAGGAACATTTTGTGTTTTAAAAATCCATGTTTATTGCATTGATACCCATTTATACCAAGTTGCACTGATGCAGAATCTAACTGTGCACGTGCACAGGTGTGTGTTTCTGATCAGATGCGTTCTCCTCTCTCTCCTCCAGACGATGCCGTCTCGTCTCTGCTGGCGGGCCGCTCGTCCTCCGTGGCGCTGGTGTTTGGGCAGCAGCAGGCGGCGGGTCTGGCGCGGGCCGCGACACTGGAGCAGCTCCGAGAGAAGCTGGAGACGGAGGCGCCGGAGAGGAAGATGGTGCGTCTGGCCGAGGAGCAGCAGAGACTCATGCAGCAGGCCTTCCAGCAAAACCTGCTCGCCATGGCCTCGCAGATCCCTGTCAACCTGCAGCTCGGAGCTCCAGCCCGGGGTCAGTGCGCCGGACGCACATACAGATGTTTGAGATGCACTGATGTGTGAGTGTGTGTGAGTGAGTGAGTGAGTGAGTGAGTGAGTGAGTGAGTGAGTGAGTGAGTGAGTGTGTGTGTGTGTGAGTGAGTGAGTGAGTGAGTGAGTGAGTGAGTGAGTGAGTGAGTGAGTGAGTGAGTGAGTGAGTGAGTGAGTGAGTGAGTGAGTGAGTGAGTGAGTGAGTGAGTGAGTGAGTGAGTGAGTGAGTGAGTGAGTGAGTGAGTGAGTGAGTG